GCTCCTCCCTGGGGAAGATCTGAAGGAAGAATCTCTAAGATGGGGTCTGAGGGACAAGAAGGGCACCTTTTCTCAGTCTGGGAAAGGATGAGTGTGTTAAGGGGTGAGGCTAGAGGTAAACGGGGGCTTCATACACTCAGGATTTGGGCTACAGTAACTCACTCAGCAGAACCTGCTGGACTACTCCAGCATCCTGCATCTTCACACCCACCTGGTTCACAGAAACACAGAATGCTTGTACCTAGGAGGACTTCCTGATTCTCCTACAAGATCCAAGAATATTCCTTCACACTCCAAGTAGTGCCTTGTTCACCAGTGTTCACATAGAGCAAGCCACACTGGCCACGCAGCCGCAGTTCAGAACCCACGAAATCTCCATTCTGCTGTGTGACCTTAGCCTGGTCACAGTCTGTCTCACTTTTATCATTCCTATGGGACTCACCACTGCTGCATAATGTCACCTTATTTCTAGAGCTGAGCTACTGAGGTACTAAGAGGGGACACTTTGACCTAGGGAATGGTCACTACTTCTGCCGCCCCTCCCCCGCCTCTCTAGTCCTTCTCCCTCCATGGCCCGTGTGAGCTGTGTCCTAGCCCTTCTCCCTCCATGGTGCATGTGAGCCGTGTCCACCTGGATGCATTTGGCTTCAGTTCCTAACCGTGCCCTTGGCTGCTCTCTCAGCCCCCAGAAGCCCCGCTGGCTTGACCCTGTCTAGTTCTACTTACCCGAGTGTTATACAGCCCTTCCCTTAATTACACACTCAATCAGTTCCTCCCCAGCCCAACCATTTGTGGTCTCTGAGCATCCCCAGCTGCTTTCCAGACGTAGCTCCTCCGGCTGAGCCTTGGCCGTCGCTGAAGCTCTGGCTTTCTGAGGCCGCGATGCCAAAGTTGAAAGCCTAGCCTGCTATTTCACACCCTATTTCCTTCCAAATTAATTCTCTGATGAATACTGTCCTTTTCTGAGACTCAGCGCAGACCATTTCCCTACATCTTCCCCTTACCTTTGAGACTTCTAATCTCTCCCAAATCCAAATGTCTTGCCTGCCCAGGGTGGGGGCGGGGGTGAGGGGAAAGCCCTGTTCGCCTACCAAAATATAGAAAACAACCCTTCCAACACCACCCAACCTCAGCATACTTCTGCTAGTATAATTAGGCCGTATCTCTGATATCAAATTATGTACTTGCTTTTTCTAAAAACAAGTGCCCTGCCGAGCAACCCAATGTCTGAACATACAGTAGCTGTTAAGTTCTGGGTTCTTTCAACCCCAAATGTAAAGAGATATGGATTCCAAATCTATATTTGAGCAACTAGCTTGTCCCAAATACTTACATAGTAATTTTGCTTAACACCTTCCCACCCCACCCAGTTCTCAGTGGACAGCATCATCTTCCTCACAATACACAACAGAAACTGCAGTGCTTTGGGAGTTGCCTAATGTCCCAGGGCCCAGGAAAAGCTAGAATTCAGGCTGTCAACTCTAAGCAAGGCAGGTGTGTGGTTCACAAAGTCCTAGAACACTGTAACCCCAGTCATAGAAATTGTACCTGTTAGTGGTATACCAGCACCAAACTGTGGTCTGAAGATTCTGGAGAGCAGGGAGGGGCACATAGACTTCTCTGGAACAATATGGGCAACGGCTTCTGGACATATAGGACTTTTTATCTTAGGAAGAACTTCACCTCCCTAAGCTATGTGACCCTTAGACAACACCAAGAGGAAGAAGCAGGTTAGATCCTCTTTTACAAGTTAAGATATAGAAATATTTTGTTTGTATAACCTATTTTTGTGGTGACAGGGATCAAACCCCAGGCCTTGTACATGCTAAGCACATGCTCCACAAGTGAGCCACACCCTTGTTCTACATGGTTCACTAGCATGAGACTAACTGACTTGTCCAAAATTAGACCAACAATAAAGGCAGAAGGGAGGACTGTCACCATCTAGACAGGACTCCAAAATCACTATTCCTCCATTTTCAGACATGTTTAGTCTTTGCTTCATAAATAGCCATTGTGCCCCTCTCCCATTTCTTCAGTGAGCGCCACATCTCAAACATCAGGTAGGGAGAAAGGAGAAATGAGAAGGGTAGCTTTTTGTTGGGAAAATGCTTTTTGGTTCTCTGAAGAGGCTAGTCAGGCAGCAAAGGCCTGCAGAGTCTCTTGGCCACTAGAGGGCAGGGCCTGAACAGAGCACAAAGCCAGTTCCCCAGAGACCCGGTCCTTTCAGCCAACTGAAATGGGATTCAAGCCTCTGCCAGGCACCCCAGGACACACCACCCTAGCAGCACCCCTACCCCACTCCACCCCCCACATGCAGCAAACACAGCAGTAGACACTTTATTTTGCAAGCCCTTATTCCCACAGGTCTCCTTTGGGGGTCCAGGAAATGTCCCCAAAAGCTTCTAACTTAACAGGGTGCCAGGTACCACTTAAAAAGACTGGAATTCAGGTTTCTCAGAAAGACCACACCAGGCCTGTGTGTATGGTCTTGGTGCTTTGAAGACCACAGTGTTAAAATGAGACCTCTGTTTCCCATCTCTGGGCTGGGTCCTGGTCCCTTGCTGTCTTCCTCAGAGAACTTCCCCTTTCACTTCCCAGGTGAGGAAACTGAGTGGAGAATCTGCACATAGCGGAAGCACAGACTGAACTTACCTAATGTCAGTCATTTCATTTCATTGACTAGCAGAACAGAGTCCCATAGGGCAAGCCTTCCTTGATCAAGGCCCTCAGAAAGTTCTAGCAGGTGGGCCTTTGCAGGTTACAGGCTCCTTGCTTGAGCCCAGCATGGCAGGAGGCAGGGAGAGTTGGAGAAGAGAAAGTCTAGAAAGGCCCTTTACTCGGCCACTCTTGAGCAAGCCATCTCTAGGATTTCTTTAGCAGCATTCTTAGACTCCCAGAGGAAGGAATTAGGGCCTGAGACAGGGGAGGAGTCATGAAATCCACTCACACTTATCCTTCTTCTTCCACACATAATCAAACTGCCTGGTGGGCAACTAGCAATGTACCTGCCTCGTAGATAGGGAATCACAAGCTCTTAGAAGTTACCTGACTTGCCCTCAGCCGCACCAGCACTGAGGGAGGGAGTCGGGATGTGACTGTTCCCTCAGGCATGCTGCCTGGGGATGGTCAACATAGCAGGGCCTGCAGAAGTCTGGGAGTCTCAGGAGAGGAAACCCTTCACTAGTAAAACTGTAGCGGGAACCAGGGAGAAATGGAGAAAAGACATTTGGGGTACTTTGTGTTTGCTCAGTTGCCAAGAAGAGGCCAGAAAAGTGGAATTTTCCTTTTTAAAAATATACTTCTCAGAGCTGCAAGGATGTCTTGCAGGGGAGATGGCTGGGGGTTGGCGTAAAAGCATTTGCTGTCAGGCATGATGACATGAGTTCAATTCCCACATGGCGGAAGGAGGGAACGCATTCCAGCATGTTGTCCTTTGACCCTCCGTATGCAGACTATGCCATATGCCCACATACCCATACATGCAAAATAAACAAATGTAGTAATTTACATACACAGAATCTTTACCTGCCTGGCCAGGGAGGTGTGTGAAAAACAAGGCTTCAGAGGCCAGACCTCAGAGGATGATGGGAAGCAAAAGTATGAATCATTTGGAGGCCACATCCGTGACTTAGAAGGGAGAATGTGAGTTCAGGAAAGCAGCAACAGAGAAGGGGACCTACCATTCAAACACTCCAGTGTCTGAGCGTGTGTTAGATACCAGCCTACTGCTGAGGACCTGCTAATGGATGCGATAATCAAGCCTGCCTCTGGGGCGCTTGCATTCTAGTCAGTGGGACAAGCAAATCCATGGATCTGTAGTCGCAAGCCCTAATAAACACTGTGGGAGACAGTACTTCTGAGGGCTGCTGTAACAAAAGGACTACAGACTGCATCAGAAATTCATTTCCTTCGAGCTGGTGCAAGTCTAAGGCGACAGGCATGGGAGGGTTGGTCTCTTGAGACCTCTCTCCTTAGCTCACAGAGAGCAGTCTTAGGATGTGGTCCCACAGAATCCTTTCTGATCAATGCCCCAGTTTTTTCTTCCTATAAGGATGCAGTCATATTGGGTCAAGGACTCAGCCATATGACCTCATTGATCCTGATGATGTCTTTAATCTGTCTGAAAGAACAGGGCCGAAAGGAACATTTGGATAACCTTAGAAGCCCATGGTACAAGGTGATAGACTGTAATAAAGGCTCAAAGTAGAGAGGCAAAGGAGCTGGTATGTTATTTGTAGACGATATGGAGAACCTTCCTGAGAGGACAGTGAATTGAGATCTGAATGAAGAGTGAGATCTAACCACACGGATGTCAGGATGAACATCCAGGAAGAACACAGCCTGTGCAAAGTTACTGCAGCCAAGACAAGGCTCTGGGCTTCCTGGTACACACCTTTTCAAGGGCACCAAGATAGGGCAGGGTTTAGGGGAGGATGAAGGTCAAAGGGCACAGAATTTTAGTTAGGGAGAACAAGTCATATGATGTCCTGCACGCATGGTGAGCATGATTTAAAACCTTGCTACTAGGCAGCCTGGGACTTTTGTAATAGGACACCACAAATGGGTCATTTTAGGAGAAGATTCATCTCACATAGTTCTAGAGGCTAGGACAGCCAAGACCAAGACAGTAGCAGGTCAGAGCCTGACTCTCTGCTTCTAAGATAGTGACATGTGCATCGTTCAGAGAATCGACACCATGTCACCACATGGCAGAAGAGTAGGGGACAGACTGCTTGGGCAAGTCCCTCTCTTGGTGACACTCATTGATCCACGAACTGGAGCTGCAATGACCCAAACACCTGCCATTAGGCTACACACTCCGGTTCTCTCACCCTAGAGACTAGGGTTCCACATAATGTTTAGACAGGAAAATGCACCCAAACCGTGGCAGCTCTGTTCTCCTAAATGTACAGATTTTTGTTTTCTCCTGCATGAGAAGTGGCCAAGGTGGTCGGTTATGTTAATTAGCTTGAGTTAAGCATTTCATACTGCAGATATACATCAAACACTATATTTTCCTTTATAAACACAGACAATCATTACTCATCAATTACAAATAAAGACAAAGGTTGCTATGGGGGGCGTGGAGAATGAGCAAGAAGGTAAGGCTTCCCAGGACCTTGAGGACCACTACGATGACTGGCACTTGCTTTGAGATGGGAACCAGAGAACTTGGGTGCAAAAGAGAATCAGGACCAGAGTGCATTTTAAAGCAGCACATGTGTTGGGATAGTCTGTGGAGGAAGGGTGGGAAGGCAGGACTGGTTAGGAGGCCTGTGCAGGAGTCCAGGAAGTAGACTTAGAGAATGAAGACAGTGGCAATGCAGGGGTCAGTTCTGGGTAGAGATGGAGTCAGCAGAGTTCACTGATGACGGTGCAGTGGGCACAAGTGACGGCGGTGGGAGGAGACTCAAGGGTGACCCCAAAGAGCTCGGTCCTTGGTGAGCCTGGAACTCGGTGAACAGTGGTTTAGCCAGATGAGGGTACCTGTGGGAAGGGGGGGACGGAAAGGGGAGGCTTCAGAGCTCAAGGTTTATTGTGGACCACGGGAAGTGTCATTCCTATGAAATAGTTAACATCTAGTATCTAACTTAACATCTGATTTAATAAATAAAAGAATTTAATATTTAAACTGAGGTTCTACTGAGTAAAAAGAAGTGAGATCAAAATTCAGAGTCTTGGTGAAGCATAATTTTATTGTGTAATTATTACTTAAAATTACAGAACCCCTTGAGATCACCAGAGGTAAGAGCAGAAGAGGCAGAAAAAAAAATGTCCAAAAACTAAGTTCAGGAAAGGGGGATTCAACAAAAATCACACAAGTTGAGAAAGTGGAGGAAACAAGAGAATACTTAGAGCCAGGTGGTGATGGAGGCTTTTAATCCCAGCACTTGGGGCAGAGGCAGGCGGATCTCTGAGTTCGACAACAACATGGTTTACAAAGAGAGTTCAGGATAGCCAGGGTTATACAATCCTGGGGGGGGGGGAGAGGAAGAGAGAGAGAGAGCCAAATGAAGAAACCCCCAGAATGCTGGCAAGCTGAGTAAGAGACTGAAAATTGGCTATTGGATTTGCCAGAGGTCACTGATGATTTGACAAGGGCTGTGTCTCCATGGAGTGTGGGCGTGAAAGCGTAATAAGAGGAATCAGAGACGGCAACTATTTTTGAGCAGCCTTGCTAGAAAGAAAAATGGCATAGCTGAGAGATGGAGAGAAAATTTAAGACAGGAGATTTTATAGCTTATTTGTATGCTAATGGGAACACGGAGTGGGAAAAGAACACTGCCGATACAGAAAGGCCAGGCGGGAAGGCTGGCCTGGGATGGGCCGAGGGCAAGTTCTTAGTAACAGGAAGAGAGGAGAGGGAGAGAGAGAGGATGGTGAGGGAGGAAGAGAGGCTGCAACACAACACAGACTAGCAGACGAGCCGTGAGATGTGCACACTTCATGGTTTTGCTTTCTTAGTGAAATATGGATGGCAGGAAGCAGCAGAGTGAGGACAGACAGGTCATGGAAGACAAGATGGAGAGATGTAAACAGATTAAAAAACAGGCTGGTAGCATGACAGAACTTAACTGACAACACAGGTTTACTAAAGCTGAGAATGGTGGGCGTGTCCCTCCCCCCCCCCCCCCAGTGGCTGTCACACAGGCAGCAGGGAGGAGGGAGGCTTTCCTGAGGGCTTTTCTCTCTGAGAAGTTGGTGGTTTGAAATCATCATATTTAAAACTGATCCTGGGAAGGAATGGGAATGAGGGTAAGGAAACAAGACTTCCGGCAGCTGCGAGCATTCCTGGATACCGTATCAAAGGAGAGGCTCAGCACTTGGTCAGGGCCCTACCTTTTCGTTATTATTTGTGTATATTCATTATACTATAGTAATAGGCTTCATGGTTATTTTCATCCAATCATACCATATGTTTTCTCTGCTTACCCTTTCTGCATTTCCTTTTCCTGTGTAATCCCCTTCTACTTTCATGCCATCTATCTTTAGATCTGTATTAACATGTAAAAATATACACTCTAAGACCCACATGGAAAACAATTTATCTTTCTGAATATGGCTTATATGGTTTAATACAATGATCTACAGTTTGATTCATTTGTCTGCAAACAGCATCACTTTGTTTTGTAGATGTTTGAGGAAAACGCCTTTGTATATGAATACCACATATCCCTGATCCATTCCTCCATTGGTGGACATTTAGTCTGGTTCTGTAGCTTAGCCGATGGAGAATGCCACAGAAAACGGGGATCCACAGGTGTCTCTGTGGCACACTTCAGGATATACCTCAGAGTGGTGAAGCTGCATTACACAGCAGATCTAGCTTTAGTTTCTAGGGGGACATCTTCAGGATCTCCACAGGGACTAGTTTTTGTTCCCAACAGCAGTGTCTACGGGTTCCTTTCTCCACATCCTCAGCAGCATTTGCTGCTGGTTTACTTAATTACAGCTTTTCTGCCCGGGATGAGCTGATATCCCAGTGTGGTTTTTACTGTTTGTGAGGGTTAGGTTTTTGAGCACGTTTCTCCCTTACACTTCAAGGCACTCAAGCTTTCCTGTTTATGTGCTTGCCCACTTACTGAACTGCTAGTAGTTACTTTTTTACTGCTGTGATAAAAATACTGTGTCCAAGGCAGCTCATAAAAGAAAGTGCTTAATTGGGCTTATGGTTTTGGAGGGTTAGAGTCTATGATGGTGGGGCAAAGGTGTATTAGTGGGACAACTGAAGAATTCTTAAAATATCTTAAACTGCAAGGTGTGGGGGGGTATCTTTGGTATCTCAAAGCCCAGGCCCAGTGACACACCTCTTCCAACAAATCCACACCTCCCAATCCTTTCCAAAAATTCCATCAACTGGGGACCAAGGATCCACACATGAGCCTATGGGGGCCATTCTCATTCAAACCACCAGAGGGTGTGCTGAGAGACAGTGTTTAATGTCTTTTGAGTTCTTTATAGGTGTTACTGCCCTGTCAGACTGGCAAAGGTTTCTACCCTATCTGTTGATTGTTTCTCATTGCTTCTTCTGCTGAGGAGGCTTCTTAATTCCATACAATCCCCTTCATCAATTGCATTGTTTTCTTGAGCTAGAGTCCTTTTCAGGACTGGCTTGTGCCTCTATTTACACGTTTTCCTCTCACTAACAGATCCTGAGTTTCAGGCCTCCGATGCCATCGCTTCTTTTTGAGTTTTGTACAAGGTGACAGCTAAAGGTCTAGTTTTACTCTTCTACCTGTGGATATCCAGGGTTTGCAGCACTAATTGGCGAAGTCTGGCTTTTCTGGTGTGTGTGTTTTATCTTTGTCAAAAATTGGGTGCCCATAGCCATGCAGGTTCGTCTGGGCCTTCTGTTCCATCCCATTCCATTGGTTTAAGCATGCCTTTGTGTCAGAACCACGCTGGGTTTGATGCCCTGGCTCTGCAGTGTAACTTGAGGTATCATGGGACCTTCAGTACTGCTTTTTGCTTAGTATTTCTTTGGCTATTTGGTGTCTCCTGTCCTTCTTAGGGTTGTCTTTTCTGTTTCTGTGAAGATTTGTCACTGGAGTTGAGGGGTTGCAGTGGATCAATGTATTGCTTTTGGCAGTATGGCCATTTTCACAGTATTAGTACTGCTGACCCACGTACATGGGAAGTCCTTCCTCTAGTGTCTTCAGTGTCTTTAGTGCTTTAGGTTTTCTGTGTAGAGGTCTGTTCTCTTTTGCTTTCTGTTGCTGTCACAAACAAAGACTAAATGTGGCTTAAGAAGGAACAAGCATATTTCATCTTATACTTCCAGGTCATAATCCATCACGGTGGGAAGATAGGAATATAAGCAGAAACCATGGAGGACGCTGCTTACTGGCTGGCTCCCTCTAGTTTCTGCTCAACCAGCTTCCTTATACAACCAGGGTCACCCGTCTTAGGGTAGCACTGCCCACAGTAGGCTGGGCCCTCTCACATCAACTGGCAATTAAGACAATCCCCCACAGATCTGGACACAGGCCAATCTGATCTGGGCAATCCCTCGACTCAGACTCCCCCTTCCCAGGTGACCTAGCTCTGCCATGTTGACAGTAAAATCTAACCAGGACAAGGTCTTTAGTTTCTTTGCTTAGTTTTCTTACTTTTTAAACTATTTTTATTTTTGAGGCTATTGTGATAGGGGCTATTTTCCCGTTTTCTGTTATTGTTTTATAAAAAGGCTGCTGACGTCTAAATGCTGATTTTATATCCTACTGTGCTAAGTGTTAACGAGTGTTTCCTGGGGGAGTCTTTAGGTCTCCTAAGTATAGGACCATGCCACCTGCACACAGGATAATCTGGCTTCTTCCTTGCCTGTGTGCCTTTCTTTTCTTTCTCTTACCTTATGGTTCTAGCTAAGGTTTCAAGCATCATATTGAGTAAATGGAGTGGACACAGTTGTCTTATTTCTGACGCTTTAGTTTTTCCTTTACTGTATATTGGCTATAAGTCTGTCATACACAGCCTTTATTGAGGTGAGGCCCAGTTTCTTCAGAGCCTTAATCACGAAGGGATGTTAGATTTTGCCAGAAGGCTTTTCTGTTCACTGAGATGATCATGTGATTTCTGCCCTTAAGTCTATAAACATTCTGTATTGTATTTATTGATGAATGTTTAACTTAACTGATTACTTATGTTTCTCTTCACCGAACTGCAATAATTTGAAGGTAGAACCCACCACCTTTTTGATAAGAACTTAATAGGGCCTGAGTAACACTGAAGTTCCAAAGTGCCACAATTCCCCAGGCTCACACCAATACTCTGACCTTAGAAATCATGCCATGAGGCTGGAGAAACAGCTTAGTGGTTAATAGTATTGGCTCCTGTTCCAGGGTAGGTTTGGCTTCCGGCATCCACAGGCAGCTCACGACCATTTCTAACTCCAGTTCCTGGGAAGCCAATACCCTCTCTTCTAGATTCTGTAGGGCACCAGTCATGTAAGTGGTGCACAAACTTACATATAGGCAAAACATTCAGACATAAAATAAGAAATCGTGTCACAGAGTAGATAACCTCCCCTTTGACCTCAACATGATACTCTTTTATATAAAGGCACTTTATTTAAAAATCAACTTGTCTGTGTAAATAAGTCACTCTCCAAGTTCCATTACCCGAGCTTTGGAGCAGAGCGTCCGGTATTTTTCTGGGCTTACAGAGTAAACGGACATGGTGTTCAAGAACTTGTCCAGTGGACAGAGCTTGTCGGGGCAACCTCTTGGTACCTGCTCCTGTAGAACAAAGAGAACTCAGCAGGTCTGCAGAGAGCTCCACCCTCTGCCCTCAGTTGAGCCCAGCAGTCTCAACCATGCAGTACAGATGAGCACACACACATATGACAGCCAGGAAGACACCCCTCCCACACACACCCCCAAGTTTCCAGAATAAAAAGCACTGTATCCTGACTGCTGACTAGATGAGAGGACTTAGTAGAATTCTGTCCATGAGCTGAAAGAGCTAATCGTCCCACCCCTGCAGAGTACACAGTTCCTCTCCTGGACATTATCAATGCTGGGTCAGTCAGGACACCAAGACACCTCTGTGACTTCCTGAAAAGGACCTCACAGTCAGGAGGTACAGCCTGGCAGACACACTCAGGAGAGATGGAGAGTAGCCTTATTCCTAGAAGAGATCTATACTAGAACTGAGTTGTGGCCATGTTGTACCTTGGTACCACAGGCCGACTACTGCCCTATGCTCATAGGATTCAGGCAGCCGAGGCTACCACTTGGGACTCCACTGGGCCCGAGAAGAGATACCTGACACTAAGCTTTGCCACCACCCATTCCCACCTCAGAGACATTACCTTCCCATTGTAATAGAGCTGCACAAACCACTCCTTAGATTCTTGGTGCTGGTAGAGTTCCATGGTCAGGTCCACAGCAAATGGGGGCCATTTTTGGTCAAAAATCCCCAAGGCCAATAGCATAGGTAGGAGGGTTACATCGTGTGTTGCATAGAGGTACATCTTTCTGCAAGAGGGAAACGGTTCTCTACAATTGCTTGCCTTGGGATCAGGACACTAGAAGGCCAAGACATTGCCTGTCTTCTCTGAGTGAAAAACAGCAGCTGTCTTAGAAGCAAGGGGCAGCTAGCAGTCAGTGGGAGCTGGTTTAAAACTCCTCTGGACCAGATGGTGAACTGCCTATTCCTACCCTCAAATCTCAAGGGGAAGACCGAGCCCTGGAGCAACTCTCTTTGCTTCTGCCTTCCTGCCCCAGCCACTCACTCCTCCCCTGGTGAGTTTCAAAGGAGTGGCCTACCTTTCTTTTCCTCTGTTCTTCCTAATCTTGGCTACTTGAGTGTAGGAGGGTAACCCTTGCCCCTTGCAGGTTTGGAAATCTTAGTTCAAACATATATGAAGCTGCTTGGTCTTCAATACATCCCAAGCAGCTTCCATCAGTAATATAAGAAGCCACTGTATGGTATCTGCTTGATGCCAGCCATTTCTCTCCTCAGCACGGTCAAGGACTTTACTCTCAACCTAGGAGACCGGCACAAGGGGGAGAGTGGCAAGGAGCAAAAGGTGTAGGAGACGCTGCGCAGGTGTGTGTGATGGACAGAGACGGACAGGTTTACTGTTAGAAAGGCTGCTCCAAGTCCCTGCTTCACCCCTGGGAACTCAGCTCCCTGCGCCTCTCACATCCACTGTAGGCTTTAGCTGTGTTACCTCATACCCTCCCCTCTCTTCACGCCCTGGCAATACTTGAACATTACAGTGCATCTAATTAAAATGCAGGTTGTGCTCGAGCAGGACAGAGAGGGGCCTGAGACTTAAACAAGTCTCCAGGTTACGACACTGTTGGCAAATCACAATTTGCTGAGCTAGTCCCCAGGACACATGAGATTCCAAATCCAGGGTTCTAGCCTGGTGTCCCAGACTCTGTGAAAGTGGGGACAGACGCCCATAAGCTGTTTCCAATGTTTTAAAAAGTACAGTGGTCGGACTTTCTGTACACCAAATGAAAGATTCAAACCAAGTCATCACTGTTTTGGATTATTAAAATATCAAACCAGTGTGATACTAATGTATTTGACATATATCCAGTTAGTTTTTTAAAAGGAAAAGAAAAATAACTTTGAGACATTAAAAATTAAAAAAAAAAACAACATTCAAGGAAAGCTGTATCAGGAAGAATGGTAAAAATGTTGGGAACTGCTTGGGGGTACACAGCCTTGTAAGAAATTGAGGCCACTGACAGCCTAGTTCTTGACTCATACCCTCGGGTCCCTCCCTGCAGCCAGAGGCCCCCACAGCTCTCTGTGGCATAAGCATTCACTGTGCTGGGTACCTGGTCTTGCTGGGTGAGGTGGTAGGGTCCACAGCTTTGAGCAGGTTTCCCTCCAGGATGTGTAGGAATGGGCCCACTGCCATCTGGATACTTTCCCTGTGAAGGGGAATAATATTTAAGCACCTGTAGGCACTCAGCAGCCAGGAGAGGTGTCAGTTCTGCCTCCTAGGACCTTAGGAGCCCAGTCAGAAGAGGCAAAGACAAGTAACGCAGGGGACACAGCAAGGGCAGGGGGAGAAATGGCATCGAGTTTGAGGATTCTCTGTGAACAAAGACTTCCAACAAACACATCAGGATATACACCTACCATGAATGCAGCCGAGATGGAGACACTTGGGGAGTTATAAGGAAGTAGGCCCTGGGCTGGAAATATGTCTCAGGGGGTAAAGTCACTTACTTCTAAGCCTGTTAGAAATGGGGAACCTATAGAATGGAAGGAAACCCACCCACATCTGTACACATCACACACATGCGTGTGCACATGCACAATAAATAAATGTAAAGCAAACAAACAAACAACACCTTGAGGAATCAGAGAGCAAAGCCAGGTAGGATAGAGGGAACAAGACCCAGAAATCCCAAATGGCCCTGGAAAAGCACTGGGAGGGGAAGAGCACCCACCGCCTGAGCCTCCAGCGACCTTTAACTTCTGGAGCTGAGCCGTAAGGACTGTCTTCTTCAGTCCTGTTCAGCTCCCATCACTTTTATTCTGGGTCATCCCGTGACCACAGGACATGGTAACTCAACTCTCACAGCACTGAGCAAGGAATGGTAAGCAATGGGTGAAGGGGGGGGCGGGGCAACCACCACTGCATGTGGCATGCACCTGCCAGGTACGCAGGCCAGACGACCCAGACTGTAGTGTGACGTTGTACCATTTGTCCTTGAAAAGACACATCAGTTTTTATGAAACTGATATATAGAGAGAGAGCAGTGGAGCAGAAGAAAGAGAACGGCAGTGTGGCCAGACACAAGCTGCCTGCCTGTTCTCATAAAGTTTTACTAGAACATACCCATGCCCATTTGTGTACGTGTTACCCACGGCTGCTTCGTCATGCGTAAAAACAAAGTCTCGGCAACCAGGCTCGCCCACAGAGCCTGAGGCATACACTGAGCGCGGTTATGGCAGTGAGGGAGGGCAGTGAGCAGCAGTGAGTGGTTTGGCTGGTGCACTTCTGCATGCCCAAGGCTAGCACACAGGCGGCCATGCTGACTCCAAGCCAACTCGACCAGGGGCTCTTTTCTTACACAACAGACCCTGAGAATTCTTGAACATTAACTGTTCCCCTCCCAACAGTCCTGGATTATCCTTCACTTTGGCTTAACTGTTTCCACCCATTCTTAGTGCAAATGGATGCTCTTAATTAGAAAAAGAATGGTGTCCCAGAACAGAATCCCAAGGACCAGCAAGACCGGCTAACACTGGCCAGAGGATCTGGGACCAAGTCCTAGTTCTGGCACTGGCCAAATGAGCCCAGAAAAAGTAGCCAGTCTCTCTCAGCCCAGTCTTTCTCCCTCTCAAGCAAAGGAGGGCTCTGTGCACCCTGTCCAGTTCCTTTACCTATAAAAGCAGCAAAAGATACCTCCCAAGCAGTGAGAGGGGGAATTATTTGTAAGCTGAACCAAGATCAACAGAGTGTAACGTAACGATTCCTCCTTCCACTCCCTCCACCTCAGTCTTCTGAAAAGTAAAACAAGAGTCTGACACTCTGGGTTCTGTGTAACAGGAATGGAGGTATGGGTCACTACCCCAGCAAGAGCAGAGGCCTGAGGGCAGGCTACCAGAGAGGGTCTTCCCCACTTCACAGAGGGGAAGCTGACAGCTGATACTGCCCTGCACCCAGGCATGCACTTACGCATGCACACACACACACACACACACACACACACACACACACGCATGCACGCACCTCTGCCTACGCAGGCACCTCTGCTGCTAAGCACAACTCCTGTCAGCACCTGTCACGACCCCTCACCTGTCTTCCTGTTGCAGCATGTACAAGGCCATATCCACAGCTCTCTGCTCAATCAGCTGGGCGAATCTCTTCAGGGCCGGGCAGCTTAAAAGGCTGTGCACCTGTAAGGGTCACTGGTGATGTTACAAGAAAACACTTCTTGTCCACTAAGGGCACCAATTACCTTCCACTATACCGTAGGGGCCGGTTTCTTCCTGGGGAGCCTACATCCTCAGGCCCCTAAAATGGATTCTCCAAATTTATAGGCACAGAATTGCTATTTGTTTTTTTAAAGATTTACTTTTATTTCACTTACACCGGTGTTTTGCCTACATATATGTCTGTGTAAGAATGTCATACCCCCGGAACTGGAGTTACAGACATTGTGTGTGCTGGGACTTGAACCTGGTCCTCTGGAAGAGCGGCTAGTGCTCTAAACTGCTGGACCATCTCTCCAGCTCTAGCTCCATAGAGGCACAGAATTGCAAAAACTGTTTCATAGCCCATGATGGCTCCCATTTGCTCCAAGTTTTAAAAAACTAACAATTTTTAACTTTTAATGAAGAATACAATAAAAGTCAAGGAACTGACAAATTTCATCTGATTTTTATTTTCCCTAAATTGATTTTAGAAACTGTACGTCATATAAATACTTTTCATGAACCCTTGCCATATAACATTACATTTACTACACAGAAGCACTAGGCACACTGTGCCTTGGGGACATTGTCATCTCTGTAAGAGAAGGAAAAAGACCTCACACCGCCTTTGGGCATCAGCACATCGGCCCACAGAAGCACTCCCACTGTGTGATGCTATTATTGCATGAAATCTAAGACACATTTCAATGCATTTTAATAACATGCTTATATTACATAAAATGTTATATGCATTCATAAAATGTAATATGTATAATATATTTTTAGTACATAAGAAGACTTTACAAATAAATCAAATTGAGAAAAACAGTCTAAAGGATTAGCCAGATTACTTTACAGATATCTCAAAATTTTACATTGATTGTTCAATCATGTGTGTAAATATGCACACATGTGTATATATGTGTATATACATGTAAGTGTGTATACATGTGTGTATATGTGCATGCGTGTAAGCATGTAACTGTGTATATACATGTAAGTGTATGTATACACATGTGTGTATGTGTATGCATGTGTGCGAGGATGTAACTGTGTATATATGTAAGTGTTTGTATACATGCAAGTGTGTATACATGTGTGTGTAAACACGTAACTGTGTATATACATGTAAACATGTGTGTATGCATGTGTGTATGTAAGTATGTAACTGTGTGTATACATGTAAGTGTGTGTGTGTATATATGCAAGTGCACTTGTGTGTGTATGTGTGTATACATGGAAGCATGTGTAAGTGCCCAAGGTGGAGGATACACTCCCACAGTGAGCATGCGAAAGTCAGAGAATAACTCATGACCATCAGTTCTCTCTCTTCTCCTGCCATGTGGGCTCGGGGATCAAACACAGGCTGGCCAGCTTGGAGGTGAGCATTTTACTCAGTGATCCATGTCACCAGCCCAAGATTTAAATATAAACATATCAATATAGTTTTCTGAGGCAGAATCTCGCTGTGTAGGCCAGGCTAGCTTCCAACTTTTGATGCTCTTGCCCCAGCATGTTAAATGCAGGGATTATAGAACTGTGGACCCAGCCCAGCTCAGACTTTTAAAATATGCTGATACCCATGCAGACTCTCTAAAAAGTGACACAATAAAGAGGGACCTCGAAGGTTCTGGACCCTAAAAAATGCTAAATTTACAAGTAGAGCATGGGGGTGTCACACACCTGTAACCCTAGCACTCAGGAGTCTGAAGCAGAGATCCGAGGCAGTTCTGAGCTGCACAGCTAGATCCTGTCTCAAAGAAAGCAAAACTTGGGTTGGGAAGATAGATCACTCGGTAGAGAGCTTTCTGCACAAGCTTGAGAGCCTGCCTTTGAACCCCAGTTGTGGTGGCATAAGCTTACAGTTCCAATCATAGAGTAGAGAGTCAGGCAGATCCCTGGAGTTTACTGGACAGGTGGTCTATCAAGCTTGCTAATCTAGCCCAGCTAGAGGCTCTGTCTCGAGAATCAAGGTGGATGTGTCCTGCAGAAAGACATCTGAGGTTGTCCTCTGGCATCCAAACATATGTGAACACATACACGTAGAAAAATGGGATGGGTATGCTTTAACGTACTCTCTACTCATAACCAAGCTCCCCCAAACACACAGGGCAGGTAATCTGGGAAATGAACTTCCAGAAACTGATCTAGAACTATCTGGATCCTGCGTGAGGTGTCAGCTGACTGCTCTTATCCCTGCTCAGTTCATCTGCGTCCTTCAATCTTCACATGTACCCCATTTTAAATCCATTACAGCAGGCTGCAGACATGAGGGGCTTCCAGTCAGTTCCAAGTTAGGAGCCAGCCCATCCCCATGGTGCCCATCCCCATGACACCCAGGGAAACAGCTATCCTACCTGCTCCGCAGCCACGTTGTCCAGGAGAATGAAGAAGTCCACTTCATCATTGGTGTCGATGCCGACCCCAGTCTTCACCTTTTCCAAATCCTCTGAGATGCCTGGTTGTGAAATGGCAGCCTTCTTCCGGCCCCTGCCAAAACCCACAGGTTCATGTATTATTATTGTACAGTGATCAGTAATCTACAAAATGTAATTTTGTTTAACGTTTATGATCTCGTGTAATCCTTACAACAATCTGGTATGGTTAGCAATATTATTCCTATTTTACAGATGAACACATTAAGGCACCAAGAAGTAAAATGACTTGTTAGCAAGAACTAGGGCTAGTATCCAAGCTAGTTTCCAAATCCTGTTCCTCTAAGGTTTCTACCTATTTTACAGAAACCAATGCATAGCTCAGATCTGAATGAAACCATATTCTTTTTGCTCTGGATTAGAGTCTTAGCATAGCCCAGAAGTGCCTAAGCATCCCCAGAAATGTCCAAGTACCTGTCAACTCAGCAAGAACTAAAGAAGCCTGTTACCTGGTCTTCTCTCTCATGAGCCAGCAGCTCTGATAGTTGGGGTACAGGACTTCAGAGCTTGCCTCATCAGTATGGATGATGGCAGATCCTGCAAGGAAAGAGGAAGCGCAGGTGGCAGGGGGCTCAGCTCACTTTTCTAAGACCCCCCACTTCTGCCTTTCTGTTTCCCTTTGTTTACAGAGCCAATGCAATCAGAAGATCCCAAGGTCAACCTTACCAGCAGTTCCTGCTCTAGCTCTGCCCACGGTTCTCCTCCAAGCATGGATAAAGTAACAGCTTTCTTTGTTCTGTCTAGTACACACACCCTCCTACTGGGCCACAGACCAGAACAGGCACAGACTTGGATCAGTTTGGTGCTTCCCTGACTCATTCCAAAGATTCCCTACCCCAGGAACAATACCACAGAATAGCTGGTCCTCACTTTATCAGAATTGGGTTGTTTTGTTTTCTCCCCTGACTCACTTCCATAGGTCAAGACAGTGACTTATCACAGGCTACTGTCTGCTCAGAAGCCTCCTCCTGAGTCACCAACAGTGTCCCTGGGAAGGGGACATTTGCCTTTTTGGAGGTGTGAAAGGGAGGAACTTTCAGAAGATCAGGTCTTATAGATCCTTCCCCAGTCTGAGGGCTCCCTCGAAGGGGCAGCCTGCACTGTTTGCTTGGTTTGGTAGACACACAGTGTGTGAAGTGGCTGGCTTTAGCCAGAGTTAGTAGCAGCACCCAAATCAGCTGAAAGGTATGGCCAACCTCCTCAGCCCTGAAGGGTCTACTATCATTCAAAATTTGATAGAAACTTTATTTCCATTTAAGATATTCCTTTAAGCTAAACAAAACAAGAATTTCTGCTATGCAGCAGCACTTAATGTCCAAATGCCAGTTAGGTCATGATGATTATCTGAGGTTCAGAAGAGTGATTTAATGCAGATTTGAACCAATTACAAATGTCCAAAATGTGGCCTCATTTGGTGGGTTTGAATTGTCAGGCTTGAATCACAGGCTCCTGTTTTGAATGCTTGTAGGAAAACATAAAGCATTCACAAGGTGAGCCTGGCTGGCATTAGCGGAGCCGGGCTTCGGGGGTTACGCCTGCCTCAGGCTCGACCTAGCCTGTCACAATGTGAACACCCACCGCCTCACACTCAGGGAGCCACAGATGGGGACAGAGGAGCTGAGCAGGTTCCTGCTACCCTGCTTCTGCCACAGTTTCCTCTCCAAAGCAGCCTCCTGTCGCTCTGAAACCTCGAGCCAAAATAAACCTTTCTTCCCTTGAGCTGTTTCTGCAGGTGTTTGGTCACAGGGATGTGCCGGTGACTAACATAGGCCTCACATGGGATCCAGGAAGGAAATAAGAAATGCAATCCTCGCTGGTGAACAGTTTTGAAGCTAACAACTATAATCACTCCCTGATTACATTCAGACTCAGACTCTACAACTTTCTCAACTAGGAAAAGCTGACTAGAACACGCTGACACCATGGAGGTTAGGCTGGAGGTTATCTCGAAGATCAGAGCAATGGCAGCAGTCTTGGGTTCCGCTATGTGTGCTCCCTTGCCTCACTACTGATCACAAGACTGGACACGGTCACCCTCCGCAGCTCGTTTAGAAGCCCAAGGGGTCAGGAAGCGGAGGGACATCTAATTCCCACTCACTGTGGAGGTCAGGTTGGCAAGGACAACGGAAGGCTGGATGGTGGCACTGGGGGGATGGTGGTGCTGAAGGACCCCCGACAACTGGAGCAACTAGAAGCCATAAGTGCAGGAGGGATCAAGAGAACAGGCATAGAGGAAGAGAAAGGGTGGCTTGGGAAGTGAGGAGAAGCGGCATGGGATGGCTTTCAGACCACAAGACAAACCTTTCTGATGTTGGAAAAGCCCAGCCAGCAAACACCGAGTAGATTCCAGGTTCCGAAACATGTTGGTGGAGCGAACACTGGAGAGAAATGAACATGCAGAGGCAGAGATGCTCACACAGGAATGGAGAACAGCTGGGAACAGAGCAGTTGTACGCCTCTCAAAACTGCACATGGTCCCACGGGGGGAAAAGCCTTTCCTCTCTACAGACTAGCTGTCCCCAAGGAGCTGAATGGCTGTGGCCTTCAGTGACTCCCTGTTTACAGAAGATTATGACCCAAGGGTAATTGCTCAGTGGTGATCTGGTGCCCCCCAATCACCTTGGATGAGAGTTGGGGGGGGGTCAGGACAGATTACTAATACTCAAGACCTTAAATGAGTAAGTATCTCCTTGTCTATGACTCACAAGACCTCTTGTGGGTTGTAGATTGGTGAAAGGAAGGGGATGTCTTCTATGTAATTCTTCCTCAGTTTCTCTCCCAGGGCAAACATCTGCTGCATGCCCACCTTGGTCAGCTGCCCAGCAAACACGCCACCCTAAAGTGGGGCATAGACAAAGAGAAGATTGGACACTTGGTAGCTAAACACAGCTCAGAGAAGAATCCTTGAAGCTCTGCTGTGGGTTTCCCAGTGCCACTCACCCTCAAGGTGGTCTTGTGGTATTCGGAGTCGAAATGAGAATGAGGTTTCGGGCCTCCGGCTAGATTGGTGACAGTGTAATCAAACCGAGTGTGAGGTGGGATCTCTAAAAGCTTGGGGTTCCACTCCACCTGTTGTGACCATAAAAAATGACATATAGTTGAATAAAAGTTCTTGAAGCTCACAGTGCTGGCATCCTGTGGCCTCTGGGATACATGACCAGAAGCATTTGATGCTAGGCCTACAATCTTTCCTTGGAAAGGAAGGAAAGAAACCTGAACTCTCCCTCCAGCTAAAGGAAAATATGACTATGATTTCTTACTCCTGATGTCCTCACTCACCCGAAGACTCAGTTATAGCACTGTTGTCCCATTCGACTATCAGAGAGAAGATGCCAGGCTGCTTGGCATGCAGCTACTCAGGGAGTGAATGCATGAATGAGAGTGGGCAAGTAAATGAATGAATTAAGCCTCATTTCTTCCCAACATATTAGTTCCTTCGGTGTGAACACAACTACACATTCTAAAACCCAAACCTCTGACCCCCTACTGTCTCAGTCCCTGAAGAAAAATCTCACTCACGACATATAACTCAAGAAGCTATGGCCATGGCCCTGGGCTTACACAGCAGGTTCACTGGCTCTTTAAAAACTTTAATCAAACGGCACTAGGCAAATTCCTTTATTTGTCTGTCCTGTTTAATATACAGTTTCCAAAGAATAGAGACTGAGTCATCAATTGGTTTTCTAGTCTGGATACAATTAACAGCTCCGAAAATCTCCTACCACCTAACTGTCAGATAACCAGATCTGGCCTTTCCTGGGTTTTCAGCTTAGAGGAAGCAAGCCACAAACTTAAATGATAGCATTGACAAAGCAGAAGTAGGTGTGTCCTCCAAGACATCAGACACAGCTGCCACAGCTCAGGCACAGCTCTTCTTCAGGGAGTCTCAAAAGGAATGACATTTGACACACTCCTGTGATGCAGTGACAGGGACACAGACAAGCCGACACCGCTTGTGACAGGTGACCTTCAGAACCGTAATGGAAAAGCTTAAACAGCAGTTTTTCCAGGTGAAGCTGGAATAGACCACCCTCCCACGCCCACCAGTATCGTGAAAGGACCACGGCCCCACAGAGTCGTTCGAATGCCAGTGGCGCATGTCACAATTACAACAGACATAGCAGAGCTGGTTCTGCCATGTCAGCAAGACTTACAAGGTTCCATCTAAGGCTACAGGAACAGAGGAGGCAGCTCTAAGACGTGGCGTGTGGATGGACACAGCTCCATTTGGGGGTAAGACTGGGAGGCAGGCAGGAATAGTAAGGATGAATATGGCTTTGGTTTTGAGCTTGTGTGGCTACTGACAGGGTAGCAGCAAGAAAGCTGTGACTGCTTCGGGTCAGGTTACAGTGAGATACCTCCTTTGAGTTCCCACTCTTGGCACATTCCCCTAAGTCTGATCTGGATCTGCTTTATCTCTCTCCCTTGCCGTAGTGTAAATTCTTTTAGAGCTCATACCAAGCCTCCACTCTGGTTAAATCCACAGAACCCGACGCATAGGTCCACAGGGCCACTCAGACCCAGTAGGTAATCTCTAAGAACGTTCACCAAGAGCGGACCTATGGTGCTTCCCAGGGGCAATTCCTGATGACTCAGATGTTCAAGTGCAGATGATATAACCATTCATACATGCTGTTCCCCCCCCTCCTCCCCTCCCACACACTTACTCTCCTTCCTGCATTCAGTCTGTGAGTGGTAAAGAAGAACTCAAACCAGGCATGGCGATAGGAGGCTGAGGGAAGAGTATTTTGAGTCCAATGGCCAACCCAGCCATGCAGGTGCTGGGAACGTAACCAGAGTCTTCTCTAAGAGCAGTAAAGGCTCTTAACTGCTGAGCCACTGTCCCAGGCACCTGGGCATGAATACCACCCCAAAAGAATTCAATATCAAGTCCAGGCTTCAAATCAAGATCTTGTTTCAGAGGATGGGGTTAGGGGAGAGACTACCTTGATAATTTTACCTCATATGTTCACATAAATATATACACATCATCTTTAAAGAGAAAATTAGGGGGCTGGGGAGATGGCTTGGTGGTTAAGAGCAGTTACTGATTTTCCAGAAGACAAGGATTCAATTCCCAGCATCTACAAGGAAGCTTGTAACCTCCTATAACTCTAATTCTAGGGGATCTAATGGTTCTCTGGCCTCCAAGGTCACCAGGTACTCTTGTGGTGCACAGACATACACGAAGGCAAACACACACATAAATGCATCAACTAAAAGAAAAATAATAAATCTTAAAAGAAAATTAGTTGATAGCAATAGAATAGAATAGAAATTTAAAGTGACTGACTCAAAGTAAGGAGGGAAGACAGTAACAAGCAAGAGAAGAGAAAAAAGGGGACAGAAATGTAAAGCTAACAAGAGCTGCATATGGCCAACAGCACATGCTTACTCTGAAGGGTTACAGACTCTGGACTACACTCTCTGGCTTTTAGAACTTGGCCAGACAAGTTCAAAGATACAAACAAAACAATGGCTCACACCACCACTAAAGCTAACAAATTCCTCCTATGGGGCCTCCTACGGAGGATAGTAGAATGAAGCGGACATCTTTCCGGTAGTCAGAGTACTGAGTTCTGTGGGACTCTTTCTCCCTGCTCCTTCAACATAGCATAAATATCCCACCACAACCCTAGGAAGGCAACTCCATGGTGGGATGGATTGGTTACATCCCGTGTTTTAAAAAAAAAAAAAGACGGAAACAAAAATACACTCAAACCTTCCAGGATAAGGTTTTAGGAAACAAGCAATGGTGTAAGCCTTGGCTGTACATGAGGCATCACAGGGATTTCTTAAGTTTCTGAAGTCTGAGCCTCATTCCAGGTAATCATATCTGGATTTTTATGGGGTGGGGTGTCCAATTCTCAGCGCTACAGAGCCCAGATATTTCTAAAGCACTAGAGAAGAAATGTCCTCTGCTCAGACACCCTGCACCAATTAAACCTCAATCTCTAGGAGGAAGACCCGGGCATGGAATTTCTTCTTAATGTGTATCAATGTTTTTCCGGTATACACATCTATCTGAGCACATACCTACCTGGTGCCCGCAGAGCCCAGAGCGCAGCAGAGCCCCTGGAACTGGACATACCATTTTGAGTAGCCATGCATGTGCTGGAAACTAAACCAGAGTCCTCTACAAGAGCAGTAGATGCTCTTAACTGCTGAGCCATTGCTCCAAGCTGCTATACCATCTCTGAAGAATTCAATATCCTGCCAGGGTTTAGAATCCAGTAGCATGAAGGAACTGGCACATCCTTCATGGAAGCTAAGCTCTAGGCAGGAATTAAGCAACATGACATGCTTCCCAGCTCATCTACATGGTCAAAGGCAGACAAGACCTTAACAACTGAGGTAGGCTGAACTTCCTCCCTGTCGGGGGGTCATCTTGCCACTGTCTGGAAGAAGCCAGGGGAAAATTGAAAGCAGAGTTCCAGAGTTTGTTTGAAAGTGAATTTGGAACTACTCTGAAGGTCAGAAACATCTTCAACCAAGTTCCATGATTTTTTTTCCAAAGCACAACCTTTTGGCAGGGCAGATCAACTGTTACCCAAATCATTAAGTAAACAATTCAGCAAAATGTGTACTGTTAAAACGATGCCTTTTTGTAAGGACCTGTGAGAAAACTGAACCGATGACAGCACATCTGTCTATAAACCAGTCAGAAATCAGAAGCTGCAGCAAAGGTAAGTTTAGTCTTATAATTGTTACCATGCAGTCTGTTCTGACAATAGCAGAATAAGGAAGGCTAGGAAACTCAGTAACCATGGATGCGGAAAAGAAAACCTGAGAGATGATATCCAGAAACAGGTCATAGGAGGCTGATGACATTTACTTATTTACCGAGGCTTTTATGCACAGAACTTAATCAAAGAAAACCAGACATGCTCTTCTGCCTAGGGCTGGAGAGAGAACTCAGCAGCTAAGTGTGCTTGCTCCGGGGACTTCAGTCTGTCCTCAGCACCCTCATGTGCTGCATAACCACCTGTAACTCCAGTTCCAGGAGCTCCAATGGCCTCTTCTAGCTTCTCAGGCCTACACCCCCCACACACACACCCCAAAGTCTTTTTTACATTTTAAAGTAGCAGCCTACAGTGTGCAGTGTATGAGTGGGAAGTTAAAGGCACACACACACAATCCCTGAAAGGATTTAAATCATTTTATTTTCAATTCAAAGAGGCTGGAGTAATGTAATGAGTATCGTTCCTGTGATGAATTGAGTGGGATTGTTTCTCCCAGCTCCCTCAACACAGAATGGTAATATCTTGTCAAAGCACGTCGGTGAAGCCAGTTCTATACTGGAATCCACCAGTATAGGCTGACATTGACAGGTATTCGCACTGTCTATAAACACTGGGTCTAGATTCACACAAACTTCTATTCTCTCCTATCACTGGTAACTTTGTCTAAAACATAAATATATCTTTCTAACATTATCTGATAAGAATAGATAGAGAAGAATAGGGCTGCAAAGAGATGGGGCATGTGTAGACAAAATAATAAGACAACTTGAGAGATCTAATGTTAAAGGCATGGAGTGGGTGGGATCAAAGAAGCAAAAAGAGTTGCGGTACCAGACAGAAAGTGGTATAGCCATAAAAAGAGGAGAGACCTGGTAAATAAACACCTGCTAAAATATATATACATATATATATATATATATACACATATATATATACACATATATACATACATACATACACACACATACTCATGTAAGAGGTGCCCTGGCGGCTTGACTTTTTCATGTGTGACCCTCTTTAAAGACCAGATCTTGGGTTGAAGATACAACTCACAGCACTTCAGGAAAGCAGGAATGACCATAAAGAGCATATCCAACTGAACAAATACACACTCCACGGGGAAATTCAACACTTGGGGCTTTGGGACTTCTGGTGCCCTATTCTTTTTCACCTGTTAGGCAATCATTTTTTAAATCAAAAAGCTAATTATTTATGCCTTAATCATAATTATCCTGACTAATAGCCACAAGACTAGCCAATTAACTTTTTCCCCTTCTTACCACAAATCCTTTCCAGATTCCTAAACCTAAGATGTAAAAGAACCCCAAGATATAATCCTTGTCAGCAATAAGTCTTCATGAGACCTCAAATGGTCTCTGGTGAGCCCATGAGAAAAATCTGTATAAAGATCTGGTCCCAAAGGCGCCAGATTGCTCTGCTCTGTGGTAGCACTAAAGGTAGCTTCCAGTACAAAGGTCTCTGCCAATAATGACCAGCGAAACAGGTACTTACAAGGTTCACTGCATCCTTGAACTCAAGTTCAACCACAGAACTGCTAAACGTGACCCAATTCTACATCTAAGGAATCAGAATCTGCATTTAAATAAGACCTTCCGCTCCCGGGCCATTCCTATGCATCTTTGAAAAGTTACACTACACCTCGAAACTGAAAGTCTGCGGGGCCGCCCTAGCCAAGAAGGCTTATACAATGGTGGTGTGAGGATGAGGATGTGCAAGAGGGCTCCAGGTCACAGCCTGAGGGCCAGTCTGCTGCTGTTTCCCTCTGGTCTGGACCCAGCCTGAACCACTCTGCGCCAGGGAGAACGCTAAGGTGTGTCCCCACGAACCCCTACGTGGGCCGCCTCTCACCTGCTCCTCCAGCGGGAGCTGCTTGAGCGGACTCCGTGCTCCGTGTCGAAACACCACCTGTACCATTTTCAGCTCCAGTAGGTTGCGGTCCACCGGATGCTGGCCACCAGGCGCCCGCGGCTCGGCCAGGGCCACACGCCGCTGGTGGAAGCAGTAAGCCAGCGAGGTCAGGACGCCCACGGGGGCCCACACGCGCATGCTGGAGGCTGTGGAAGCTGAGGGCTCCGCAGGCACCCGGCTCAGCAGCTACTCAGAAGTTCGCGGGAACTGGAGGGCAAGTGCATCCAAGCTCTCAGAACAAGCGACTCTAGAGGAACGACCCGGCGACAGTCAGGCCCGAGGGGCGGGAGCCTGGTGGAAAGGGGTGGGAGCAGAAAAAAACTGTTTAGTAGTTTAAGCTCAGCTGACGGTGGCCGCTCCCACTGCAGGCTTAGTCAGGGCAGCTACTTGGACCTGAATCTTGCACTTCAAACCGGGTGAAGGGGAGGCCACAAAAGCAGAAGTTCCACGCACACACGGGATTCGCGGCCACATTTTATAACCAAGCCCCCTTGCAATTTCTTGCCCTCCCAAGAACCTGCCCCAATTAAGTCTGCGCACAGGAGCACGGGAAAATGAGTCCGGAGACTTTGTCCGATCCGAAAACGCAGCCCCTTAAAAACTACAACTCCCACAATGCTTGTGCGGCCGACTTTCCCCCCCCCAAGAGGGCAGTTCCGTCGCTCCCCCCCACCCCCCGCCACGCTCAAGGTCCCGCCCCCCATGCCTCCCAGGTTCCACTCCCCACCCCGGCAGGCTTCTGCTTAAGGCTGCCAAGAAGCCTCATGTAATTAAGGAATTTCATCTGCTTTTTATTCCCTTGAGGGTTTGCCTGGGCTGAGTAGGGAGGAAATGAGGCTAAGGGGAGGCGGTGTTAGGATTGGGGGTCAAAGGGGAGAAGTTTGAATGTGGAAGAATTCTCTGAAGTCCTCCATGCAAGATTACTAAAGTCAAGACCTGAAACATCAATCAGCGAAGTGCTTACTATTTGTGAAGTTACCTTCCCCCATTTTGTTTAAGAAAATTGAGCTAGGGATGTAGTTCAGCGGTAGAGCACTCTCGGAGCATGCGCAAAGCATTAGCTCCAGAGACTTGAGAGGGAAGTCGGCTGTCCTGGAATAGAGCCACCAAATAGCGTCAGGGAGGCCAGAAGGAATGGTGGTAGTGTTGTCAACATCCTGAGGCATTCTCCTAATCCTTTAACTGTGGGACAGTATTGTGGGCTTCAACTCAGAAGTGAATTTCAAAGGAAACCAGTAAGAAATAGACTTGGAGTCTGTTTGGAATGAAAAGAAAAGCAACGCAAAGAAAGAACAAAATACACCTTAGAGCATACATGGCTATGAGCTTCTTACAGAATAGTCCCAGCTTATTAGAAGCCATTTTTTAAACAGATTTTAGGCAAGAGTTATGACACAGAGATGCTTAGAGAGAGACCAAGACACTCACGAGTGGGTCTGGGCTTCCCATAAGAGATTCACAGCAAAATGTCTTAGCAATTACCATATATATTCTTTTAGTGGCTTTCAAGATACATCTTGCTCCTGCGTGGGGGTGCAGGCTTTTAATCCCAGCATTCAGGATGCAGAGGCAGGCAGATCTCTGTGAGTTCAAGGCTAGCCTACTCTACAGAGTGAGTTCCAGGATGCCCAAGGATATGCAGAGAAGCCATGTCTGGAAAAAAAAAGAGAGAGAGAGAAAAGCACATCTGGGATGGTTGCTACAACCCCCTCCCTTTTTTTATTTTTGGTGTGACTACAGGACAACTTCAGGGACCCTTGGATAGATTAGAGTCTGATAAGGTAAAACCAGGAGCCACTGGGCTTCTAGTAAGAGTCTCAGATTGTAGGCTTACAGCCACAATGGGAGAATGGCCTTAAGTAAAGGAATCCTTGCTTGATGGTTAGCAAGAGGTTTTCAGCAGACTTTGAATGAGGAGCTAGCTCCTTTTCTTCCTGTGTTCCAATAATTTTCCTTGCCCTTCTATTCTAGCTCAGACCTACTTCTTCAACTAGGACTGACCTCTTTAAGAGTAAGTCAAGGTAGTAGGTTGAAACCTTTGTGATTGAGACACTGCCTCCCACTGCCCCCCAAGAGACCCACCCTGGACACTGCTTCATTTGAGACAACCTTCAGTACATGAGCTTTTGGGTCAACACTTAGATCCAAATTATAACACAAGACAAACTGAGACCTTCAGGAGCATCAGGAAATACTACATTGTAACTCCAACAGCTGAGGAGCATGGCTCTCAGGTGAGGGAAACCACAATGTAGTTCTAGTATGAACAGATCCTGGTGTTTGAGCAGCTTCACCCTCTTTGCCATTCTTAGCACACTGGAGAGCCTTCAAGGTAATGGAAGGTTGATATCTGACTGTCCTACTTCCTGCCATGGTGACAAAGCAAGGCTGGTCCACACCCTGCTCTCTGGCATCGTTGGCACTGGGTGAGCATCATGAGCACCTTTGATCCGAGTGAGCAATAGCAGTGCCATCTGGGCAGTGGGGGAGGGCAGCATGTGTCAGCGGGGAGGGAGCCACAGCTGGCAAGGCTGGTCAATGACAGATTCCACGTGAGCTGAAAGCACTGTTTGTCAACACTGTCAATATTTAGTGTGTACTGTACAGTAGTGGTAGTAAGCTGAAATTAAAAAAAAAAACCAAAAAGGTAAGTTTTGAAATCATGCTCTGGGAACAGCCAAGAAGGGGACTCTGAGAAATGCCTATTTCGACCCTGGTTTTACTACAAAGTAGGGCTAGTTTGAGAAACAAGCTCTTCCCCTCCAGTAAATTTTCATGAGAGTTTCACTTTATATTATTTGAAGCTCAGTGTTAGCCATGAGATTAACACATACAAACACAAACACACATTCACTCCCTCATTTCCAGTAGTGAGCATGGTGTTGATTCATTGTGAGTACTTGTTAAGTACTGGTTTAAAAAAAAAGTGATAGACTGTGCCATAGGAGTAGGGTAGAGGTTGTTGACTCTTAAGTCATGGTCGCTTCCTACGTAAATCTCCTAAGAAGTTTAATTTTGAGCCCAGTATTAGTACTAGAGCAAATATCAAGAGATGTGAGGATTACATTCCCTTGACTTTTACCTTGATGGTCCCGAAGCCAGGAACATAATTTGCAATAATGTAAATGTAATTTTTTTATCCTCCGTGGTGTGAGACACTGTGGATTGAAAGGAGCAGAAACAGAGCAAAGTCAGGTAGCTGTGGCTGCAGTCCAGGATGGAAGCATGGGAAGCTGTTAACAATGGAAGTTCAAGGGAGGAGGGAGAGAGAGGAAGGGTCAGGTAATCTCAGATGATGTCATACACCTTGGAAAGAGGTTAAGTCGAGGCTAGCAAGTTAACTTGGATTGTGTAGGTTATAAAGTAGGTACTTATGCTTGTGAGTCATCCAATGTAGAAATGCCCTCTATAGGGTTGGTGATATAGGTTGGGGACCAGAGTAAGAGTGGCCTAGGAACGGATATGCAGGGCTTTTCTGTTCAAGGCTTGTAGCTGCAGGAGTTTGTGTGGATAAAAGTCTTGGTGCAGTAGGATAAGGAGATAAGACGGGGCCTGGGATAAGTCTCTGAGGAGCTCTCCATTCAAGATGCAAGTATGAAGGGAACCAGGAAAAGTTTTAAGAAGGAATGGATGTCTGTTGTGTTTAATCCTAGCACTCGGAGGCACAAGCAGGTGGATCTCTGAGTTTGAGGCCAGCCTGGTCTAAACGGAGAATTCCAGATCAGCCAAGCCTGTAAGGTGAGACCCTTTCTAGAACAAAAGCAAAACAAAACAGAAAAGAAGGAAGGAGCAGTAGCGTCAGAGGGAACTGAGAATAAAGTGATCCCAGTGGAAGGCCCTGGGATCTTACAGCAGTCATCCGTGGCTGATGGAGAGGAGCAACCTGGGAAAACTGTGGCCAGAGGTTCAGTGCAAGTGGGAGTGTGTGGGAGAGTCAGTGTGGACACGGCCAGGAAGGTGAGCACAAAGACTTCAGCTGAATGTTGTCACTGGACAGCTTGGTTCCTGACACTAAGGGAGACTTGTCTTTTGAAGAGAAGTTTTTGTTTAAATGCTGATCGACAGGGAGGGAGATGCTGGAGATGAGATGGAATAAAGGGCCCAGAAAGCTCTTAAGGAGGTGAGCCAAGATGAGAAATGAACTTAGGGATCAGATGGAGAGGTTGCATGTCCTCTACACTGAGGAGAGAAAGAACAGGCACCATGGGGTACATCGATAGTGGAATTTAAGGAGCCCGTTTTCTTCCAGAGTTTCTTTACTCTGCAAACCCATAGTGTTTTGGTGGGACGGCGCTCAGTGCTGTCAATGATTTGAAGTATATAGAGGTGAAGTGCATGCACTGTGGAGAGCCCAGAACAGTTGACTACACGCTACACCCACACCACAGAGTTGCCTGAGGACATCTGGGGTTCATGTGCATCAGTGCTATTCAAGATCTGAGTAAGCCAAGGGCACCCAGTTGTTTAAGGTAGGGTAGTTCTTCACATCCCACTTTGAGAACTACTAATGGCAAGACAAGGATCCCTCCATTGATGCCACAATCCTCAGACATTGAAACCCCTTCCATAAAACGGGGTAGTTGTAGAGATAATCTCTTGTGCATTGTGTAAAAACACTCACCTCTCAATAAAAAAAAACAAAAAACAAAAAAACAAAAACAAAAAAAACCAAACCTTTGGCCAATTAGCCAAGGCAGGATTAGAAGTGGGACATTCAACAGACAGAGAATTCTGGAAAATGGTGAGGCATGGGAGATTTGGCCTGAGAATGCTGATAGAGCCAGAGGCATGAAAGCAGAGCAGACACATCCAGTCACATGGCAACAAACCAGATAGTAAGTTATGAGCCAGTTGAAGAACATGTAAAACTGGGCCTAGGCATCTGTAAATGTATTTAAGTCACAGAGTCATTATTACTGGAGCTTGGGGCCAGGAGGAAAAACAAGAGGTTACATGTAGTATTTGCAAATAATGGATTACATCCTCTATCACTTGAGAACATCTCTAGCTTAATGATAATACCAAAACCAATGAGAACGTACTGAAAATAGTTGTTACGCCAGACTCTTTAAGAAATAATAACAAGAAAGAGTCAGAACATCTGACTGTAGCTCTTTGTTGTTATTTTTGTTTTGTTTTATTTTGGTTTTAGGTTTAGGCTTCTTTATTTGCTTAGTTTTGTTTTTTTTTTTTTTTAAATCCACAGTTGATTGAGTCAGTAGACACAAGCTATTTTGGGTGACTGTTTTCCAGAGATCCATCTGTTAAAAGTTCATGTGAGAAGTAGCAAAAAACTTTGAGAAATGTGACCTTGTTGGAAGTCTTTAATTTGTCTAGAAACATTTGCTTGCAGAAGACCATGAGATCCACTGTCTTCTTCTTGTTTCTTGTTCCTTAGGTCTTGAGGTGAATGGTTTCCTCTGTCGTGTGTACCTGCCAGAGTCCCAAAGTCACAGAGGTCTGCAGCTTTCCAGAACCATGAGCCAC